CCGACAGGCGTCTCGCTTTTATGTCCACCATAAACACGAGACACCTGTCGGACACAGCGGCGGGGGCGTTGCTTCTCGCCGCTGCTGCGCTCTTGCCTCACCAATGGTAACCCTCACTGCACGTCACTGGAGGTAAGAAATATCTGGCTGAAGGATGCAGCTTGGAGGGAGGAACAATTCTCAGAGGAGATATTTCCCTTATCATATAAACTAAAGCAATTGCCACGAGGAAGGCAATTCTCCCCAAGGAATGATAAGAAACAAGTTTTCAGTTCACAAGGTTTAATGTAAATGTAAATATTGAAACTCCAGGCTAGAGGCAAAGATAGAGAGAAACTCAACAATCTCTTCACGAACAGTATTATCTCGAGAAAATGAAAGCACTGTCTCCTAAACATAGGTGTTAAGGTGACATTAACTTTTAACAAGGAAAAAGAGAGACTTGCAATGCTGGAGATAACAAAAACAATGAAGAATACAATGGTAACATGCTACAAATTTCATGGTTGTCTGCCATCCAAAGTATAACCTTTACAGATAAGAGTGTCTGTGTTGTGCAAAAGACTTCCCAACTGAAATCAAGTAAAAGTCAGGTCTGAATCTACCATGCCATGAATTTGAGTGACAGCAAATCTGGGTATTTCATTCAGTCTTTATAAAGTTCCACGTTTTTGGTAGACAGATGTATGTGTTGTTATAGTAAACACAGAACCATGTAAACAGGGGCCAGTTGGGCTCGGAGTTGGCAATTAAGATCCAATCAGTTCTGTTTCTATGACTTGAAATATTCTGGTCACAAGGATGAGAGGGATTTTGGAGCCTCTTAACCAGTTGCAACACTAATGCAGGCAGTGAGTTTGGCTACAGTGGCAAATAGAACATCTGCTGGAGGAACAATGCTTTGAGAACTGTAACTACATCACTTCCATCCATATCTTGTAAGCAAGGAATGGCTTAGCCCATCCGATGGGCAACCAGGAACCTTAATCACTTTTTTTCATGCATCAGTTCCAAAGGTGTAGTGAGAGTAACAATTAAGGGGAGAACATACTTCCTTCCTGC